TTGTATCCAGCTACTCTACTGAATTTGGTTATTAAGTCTAGAAGACTTTTGGTGGAGTTCTTGGGGTCTTCTATATAGGGTATCATGTCATCTGCAAATAATGACAATTTGACTTCTTCATTTCCTATTTTTATCCCTTTTTATTTCTTTCTCTTGTCTAATTGCCAGGCCACAGGACTCTTACAATCTCTTCTCAGCCAATGCAAAGAGGTTGACCTATGTGTGAATAGAGCATTTCTTGACATTTAGGAAAGGTTATGTTTGCTAGTGTCATTTTGTTTTTATTTATTTATTATTTAAAACAGGGTCTCACTATGTAGTTCAGGCTGGCCTTAAACTCACTATGTAGGCTGGGGATTTAGCTCAGTGGCACCCTTGCCTGCATCGAAAGCCCAAGGTCCTGAGTTTGATCCCCAGTACAAAAAAAACCAACCTCACTATGTAGCCCAGGCTGGCCTGGAACTCACAGAGATCTTCCTGCCTTGGGCTCCCGAGTGCTAGGATTACAGGCATGCACCACCACACCTGACCTTGTTATCTTTAACATTGTTATTACTTACTGTTGTTTATTTTAGGTCAAGTTCTGTGGGAAATAGAGTGACAGGGATTTACCTACAGCAAATATACTGAGGATTCGCACTTGTAAGGGAGTCAGACAAGCAGAACTGGGCCGATGCAGTTATAACAGAGGCCTCAGCCCATCCCATCAGCTCTGAAATTGATGGAATCCTTCTGAGGTATTCACACCCACACAAAGGTACAGGATCTTTGTATCCCAATGCTGACTCAGAGCTCATAGAGTGGTGAGACCTCAGCAGCCTACACACCTGGCAGCTGGGAAATGAGGGCTTCTGTCTGAAAGGGTGACTTGAGTGGTGTTCCCTACAGGGTCCATTCCATGGCTCCCTATCACTCAACATGAACACAACCATCATGATCCCTGTCAGACCATCCCCACTACTGCCCCTCTTCTCAACAGCCTATGGTCTGTCCTCTATAGAGGTACACATTCTCCTCCAAAGGCCCAATGGCACAGTTTTCATACCGCAGTGTTGTCTGCATCCAAATCTCGCACTTCACCCTTCACCCCAGGTTGAGACCAAGTCTACTTCACTTCTATGGGCTCAGCACTAAAAGGTTCTGGGTGGCTGATCAAGAATTGGTGATAGGGCTGGGGATTTAGCTCAGTGGTACCACACCTTCCTCAAAAGCTTAAAGTCCTCAGTTTGATCCCTGGTACAAAAAAAAAAAAAAAATAGTGATCATAGGGAGTACATCCCTGCCCCCAACCCTCCGGAAGTGGCGCCCAGCCCTCCCCACCTCAGTGCAGATGCTCTTTCCTGTTGGGAATAAAGCACCAAAAACTCAGCTTCCTTCCTTTCTGCCTTGGGGGAGGTGGGGCCTTAGAGAGAAGAAGGGGTTTCTGGGCTAGGAAGTGGGAGAGAGGCTTTCTTGGGGAGAGGAATTCTGCTGCTGTGTGGCACAGAAGCTGGAGTCAACCAGGCCCTGGGAGGAGTGGAGGGCATTGGCAGCTCTGCTGAGGGGAAAAGGGCATTGTCAAGGCCAAGGCTGCTAGCAGAGGAGGGAGGACGCCTGGTCAACTCTGGTAAGTTTTTCCCAAAGTGTCCTGGACATCTCAGAGCAGAAACAGAGTCTTAGAGTTGCCAGATGAGGCCTGTTTCCACTCTGCCTCACTTAGCATAACCCAGAAAGCCAACAGGCAAAAAGCCTTGCAGGTGCCTCCCCCATTATACCCACCCTCTCTCATTTCCTGAGGGAGCTGGGCAAGCACCTCCTTCCTTTCTCAGAAGGGCCCAGATAGAGGGAGCAGCCCAAGGGAACACCCATTCTGCCCAACTCAAACCCTTACCCCCACCCCCACCTCAGCTCCTGCTCCTCCAGGCCTATCGTGGACTCAGCAGTCAAGGACAAAATGCAGCCCACACTTCCCTCTGGTATGAGCCCCATTGGGTGAGCTGAGGGAGGGATGATGGCAAGAAAGATGTGAATGGTGGAGTTGGGTCCTCCCTGCCAGGTCTGGCTGGAACTCTATAGGACAGTGAGGAGTGAACTGTCCTAGGGACAGGCTGAGGACTAGGAAAGGCAGTAGGGTCAGTGGCTCCAGCCCTTTCTGACTGACAAAGCTTCCCAGGCTCTTCCTGCCAAGAGCCTGAGTGGCCAGAGCAGGAGAGGGCAGAGCAGCTGGCCAGAGGTGCAGCACTCAAGTGGGCCTCAGGCATCTTCTACCGCCCAGAGCAACTGGCCCGACTGGGCCAGTACCGCAGCCGTGAGGTGCAGCGTACCTGCTTCCTACAAGGACGCATCAAGGTGGGCATGGGATAGGGGCAGCAGTGCTGGGGTAGGCTGCAGGGCTGGCCAGACCTCACTGCCTACATCTCTCCACAGTCAGTGGTGCAGTCATACTTGGAAGGTGTGCAAATTGGTGTGTGGCAGCTGTCCCAGGCCCTTGAGGCTGTGCAAGGAACCCATGAGGCCCTGAACCAGGCCCATGGGTTGATCCAGGGCATGGCTCAGACCTCAAAGACCCTAGAGGCCCTGCGGGAGCAGGTTACCCAACACAAGCAACTACAGGCCCTGTCTCAGTTGCTGCCCCGGCTGCAAGCAGGTGAGTTTGCAGAACCCTGGGCCTCAGCTTTCAACAATCAGTCCATAAACAATTCTTCACTGATCAAGGGCCCAGGGGCACTGGTAGGAGATTGCATGGAGGGACACACAGGGTCCTACCAGGCATATGAAGCAGAATGCAAAATCAGCTCATCCTGGGGTTCTCAAGCATGGGATGTTTGAATCAGGATGAACGCCCTTCATATTGCTGTGGCTACCCTGGTTGTTAATATGTTGAAAGAGCTGGGGGAAGCCAGGCATGGTGACAAATGCCTGTGATCCCAACACATGGAAGTCTGAGGCAGGATGATCAACACAAGTTCAAGGCCAGGCTGGGCTACATAGTGAGTTCAAAGCCAGCCTGAACTACGTAGTGAGACCCTGTTTCAATAAATAAGTAAATAAAATAGAAAGGGCTGGGGATATAACTCAGTAGTAAAGCAAGTGCTTAGCATGTGTGGGGCCCCAGCATATTCCTCGAGCAGGGTGGGTGAACAGCCACTAGCATAGCCCCCAGTTTTTCTCTACTTTCTCCCCATTATCTTTGAGTTTCTTTTGTTCCATTAGCTCAATGATTGACACCTGGCCCACCAAGTCTCTAGGACTTTGCCTGGATCCTTGCAGATTGGCCAATGCTCTACTGTAATGGTTACTACATGTTTTGTACATAACCCAGTCTCAGGGCCTCAGTATCCTTTACTGTACCCATTACACAGGTGGGAAGGCTGAGACCCAAGGCTGTCTCCTTTCCTTCATTAGTGCCGGCTTCAGTGACCCACACAAAGATGCTAATCGATACCCAACAACTCTTGGAGGCATATGTGAGCCTGCGGGAGCTGGAGCAGCTGCAAGAGGAGGCATGGGCATCCTTGGGGGGCCTGGAGTTGCCAGTCTTCCAGGGGCTGGGCCATCTGGCTGAGGCATTGGGCCATGCTGTGGAGGCAGCTGCAGGGGCTGCAGGCCAGCTGGCACAGGCAGATCCAGCCCTGCTGGTGGCTGCTATTCGAGTAGCAGAGATGGAAGCTAAGCGTACAACTCCACTAGGACAGGTCCCCCGAGACTGGAGGCAGCGCTGTCTGCAGGCACTACAAGCAGGCCTGGAGCAGGTCTACTTTGGAACAACTGTGCTGCCTGAGCCAGGGGCCTTAGCAGAGTGGCTGAAGGCTCTCCAGATGGCCTTGCCTGCTGAGTTGGCCACAGCTGAGGCACTGGTAGCACCCTGCTGCCCACCACACTACAATGTGGTTCAGCTATGGTCCCACACCCTGCACAGTGGTCTGCGCCGCAGCCTGCAGCAACTCCTCGCAGGACCTGAGCTGGGAGCTGCTGATGCCTTCAACTTGCTGCATTGGGCACTGCACGTGTACCTGGGGTCAGTGTCCTTGAGACAGTGAAAAGTGGGAGGATTAGAAGATGGGGGCTCAGTGTGATGCTGGGCCACCTATCTCCAGGCAGGAAATGATGGGGAGCCTGGAGTTGGGGCCTGAGGCTGATGTGTCCCAGCTGGAGCCCCTCTTGACCTCAGAGAACATCGAGCAGCTGGAGGCAACATTTGTGGTCAAAGTTCAGGTGAGTGTTTGGGCCACAGAGGGATGCTTTGTCCATTGGCTATAGCCTTTATCTGTCAAATCCTATGTCTACTTGTCTCTGGTAGGGTCAGTGGCCTTCTATATCCCATCCACTGACCCGTGCTTTTTTTTTCTGGTACCAGGAATTGAACTCAGGACTTTGCACTTGCCAGGCAGGTGCAGCACCACTGAGCTCAATCCCTGACCCCATATCCCTTGCTTCTTGTCCCAGGCAAATGTGGCCCAGTGGCTACAGAAGGCACTGGATGGGGAAGTAGCTGAGTGGGGCCGGGAGCAGGAACCCAACACAGACCCCTCTGGCTTCTACCACTCACCAATGCCAGTCATCGTACTGCAGGTGGGTAGGAAAGTGGCTAGGCAGGTGGGCAGTCCCCATAGGGAAGGGGGAAGAGGACAGGACTTAGGGGCTTTACTGATGGTTCCCTGTCCCTCCCTGTCTATAGATCCTGGCCGAGAGCATTCATGTGACCAACCTGGTCAGTGAGTCGCTGCAGAACCGAGTGTGTGGCATGGCACTGTCAGAACTGGGCACATTCCTAAGGAGGTCTGCCAAGCATGCACCCACTCCCAACCCTCAGCCCCACTCCCAGGGCAGCCCCAAAGGCCTTTGAATGAATAAGTCACACCGGTGGGAAATGGCTCCTCCAAACAAGTACTTGGAAGGGGGATGGGAGTATGGGGACTGGGCCTGTGGAGGCACCAAATCCAGGAGCTGCTCTGCCCATTGCAGCTTCAGTGATGCTCTGATCCAATTCTCCCGAGACCACCTCAGTGGGGAAGCCCTGGCCCCTCACTATGTGTCCTACCTACTGGCTGCCTTCAACCACCAATCAGCATTGAGGTACTAGAATGGTCCCAGCAAAAGCTACCTTCACGAACCCCAATTTCATTCCTTCTATTTATGGTTCCACCCACACTAGCCCGCTAGGAACTCTAGGCCCATATAACTCAGGGGTTCTAATCCTAGTTCTGGTAATTACTAGCTGTATGTCCTTGGGAGAGTTACCTATCTGAGTCTCACTTTTCTTATTAGTATTATGTAGGTAATAATGGATTGGTCTATGAGTCGCATAAAATAAACGGATATGGGGTGCACACAGTGGCAAATATTCATCCTGTCAGCAAATATTTATCAAGGCCTCACTCTATGCCAGATAATGTCTGAGGTTACAGTTGTGAACAAAACAAAAAATTCCCTTCATCTTGGGTGCCATGCTGTTTCTTCTTCTTTTTTTTTTTTTCTTTTGGTACCGGGGATCAAACTCAGGACCTTGAGCTTGCAAAGCAGGCACAGTGCTGCTGACCTAAATCCCCAGACCGACAGGTTGATTTTTACTCCCTTCTCTTGCGGATGAGGAAACAGAAACCGAAAGAATGACTTGTTCATGATCACAGAGTGAATTCGAGGCAGGTCTAGCCCGGCTATGTCTCTCTTGTAGCTGTTGAACACATCCCTCCTAGCTTTGACAGATACTTTAGGCCTTAAAAGTGCAGGAAACTGCCTTTCCCGCCCCTTCCTGTCATACACTTGCGCCACAAGGTGGCACCCTAGTGGTTGAACCACAAAGGGCAGTGCAGGCCTTGGCCTTGGTCCTGAAGTATTTTTGGTCGGTCCAGCTCCTCGATGTCGGTCCTGCAGCTTGATGGAGTGGCTACCGGGGTCTTGGCCCCGGTGGAAGCAGGGCTGGACGAGTTGCAGAGAAGGATCTGCCGCCTGGTGCTGGAGGCCCTGCAGGTGGAGCTCCAAGTGAGGCTTCCTTCCCGTCAAAATGTGGGTGGGAGGTGGAGAAACGGGGCAAGTAAGCGGGGTCTGTGGAGACTGCCAGATATGAATCATTTCTCCAGCCCCGTCTCTGACTCACCCTTCCCCAGCCCCTGTTCGCAGCTCTGCCCTCGCGCCAATGGCTGTCAAGCTCTGAGTTGCTGGACCGAGTGTGTGAGCGGACGTCGCGGTTCTGCAGGGACTTCTGGCGTGTGCGGAACCCCGCAGTTCAGGTGCATTGGACGGAAAGGCTGAGGAGGGGGGAGAGCAGATGGAAAAGGCAATCTAGACCTATCTCATCACATTCCCTGCAGGTGCTGCTGGCCGAGGCAGAGCGCACTGTGGTGGTACAGTACCTACACGCATTGATGCAGGGCCGCCTCGTGTGCTGCAGTGAGGATGAGCGGACCCAGGCGGCCGAGCGCCTGGAGCACGATGCCGCCCAATTTAAAGAGCTTTTCCTCAGTTTGGTGAGCGCTTCTTGGGTGGGCAAACGGGCGAATCTCTGTGGTGAGTGGGAGCTGAGGGCCGGCTCAAAACACGACCCCAACCTGCCCAGGGCCTGGAGGAGAGCGCGCATTGCACGCCAGTGCTGCTCTCCGTGAGGGAACTGCTGAACCTCCGCGATCCTACGATGCTTGGTCTCGAGGTGGCAGGCCTGCAGCAACGATTTCCCGACGTGAGGTGCGGGGCGGGGGAGACGCGGGAGGGGAAGGGCGTGACTGACGCACCTCCGGGCGTGGCTGACGCACCTCCCACCTCCGTGGTGTCCCGGCAGCGAGGATCACGTCTCTGCCCTCTTGGACCTGCGCGGGGACGTGTCCCGAGAGCAGCGCCAGGCGGCACTCAGCTCGCTGCAGGCTGGCCCACCGCCCTCACCCCCGATGGTCCGCCGCCCACTCTTCAGCCTCGTGCCGGCGCCCACGCCTTCCCTCTCCTCCTGCCTCTTCTCGGGACTCTGCTCCTGACGCCCAGTCTCTGTGGAATAAAGCCAGCCCCACTCCCCCTAAGCCTGCATATCTGTGTTGGAGAAGGCAGGGTGCGAGGGATGAAATAAAAATGCCGGTGGAGGTTAGTGAGTTTCAAGTACTGTACAGTGATACACCCAAGGTATCCTAGCTACAGTCGGGTTTACGGGCCGCGCCGCACCTATCCAAACATCCGCCCTTTTCGTAGACTGGGGTCCGGACCACCCCGGATCCCGCGCGGTACGCAGGTGATGTCCCCAAATATTCACGCCTCGGCCCTCCGCCACCCAGGTCCCTCCACAGAGTCGCGGGGGAAGTCGGGAAACTCGTGGAAGGGCGGGCCTAAAGCAACAGCCCCGCCCGGGGGCGTGGCGTGATGCCAAACACCGCCCACTCCGCCCTTACTGGCCCAGCCTACGGTGGTCTTCGTTGCGCACCGCAGCTGAGACTGACGTGAATCCGCGCGCCTTCTTGTGAGCGTGCGCGCACCCGAGTGTGTGCGACTTCTGCGTCTGCTCTCGAGGGCTAGGTGGAGGGCGACTGGCTTTGCGAAACGGGGACCGCAGGCGGCAAGAAGAGAAGAGAACAGGTTGGGGCGCGGCACGCGGACCTAATTCCTCACTCTTATTGCAAAAGCCTAGACAAGGCGCGCGACTCGACCCTTCTTGATCTGCTAGAAACCCCTTATTCCATTGTCTTCTGGCCCCGCCCTACATTGGGCGCGCTCTTTGCTATCCTTCGCCGCTTATTGGCTGCAGGTCACGCCCTTCGTGGATCTCTCAGTCCCCATTGGCTCTTCACCCACCTTAACCTCTCCCAGGGGTTTCTTATTGGTGCAGGCCACACCCTCTTATTTGTCACCAGACCCCGCCCTCTGTAGTCGAGGCTCCTCCCCCACCCAGCGTTCATTCATTCTGCATCTATTGCTGGGTGCTTGGGATATGAGGGTGAGTCAAACCCGTCACTGCCCTGGAGGATGGTGGGGGGACACGGATTTAAGCTCCAACGGTGATAACCTAGGGCAGTAAAAAAAAAAAAAATCGAGGAACTGGGACCCTTTAGAGGCCTTTAGACGCCCGGGAAGCATCCCGGAGTAGGTGAGACCTAAACTCAGCCCTGAGAAATGGTTAAGTGTTTGCTCCAGGGAGACAGTTCGAGGGCATTCTTGGCGGAAGGAGCAGAGATGTGAAAGAAACAAGTGTATTTTGGTAATTGAGAGGAGGTCGGTCAAATGAAAGAAGGGGAAATGGAAGGGCCTGGCCCAGGTAGCAACTTGGAGACAAACGAGGAGTCCAGGAAAGTGTACAGTTAGTTGAAGGGAATGAGACTTGAGACTTGAAATCTTTTTCAAGCAGCTGGTCACTAGGCAAGGTAGAGGCAAGAGGGAAGATGGGGCCTAGGTGAGGAAACAGGGTGCAGGGTAGGAAAGATTCTAGATCTGAGAAGAAAGGCTCTTGAGTTCATTTATTGAGCAGCTGCTTTGACTCAAGTACTATCCTGGGTTCTAGGGACACAACTGTGAACATTGGAAAGGAGAAAACAAATAACAATCAAATATACCATATGAACATAAAGGTTACTGCAGTATATTTCAGGTAATGATAACTGCTACAGAGAACAATAATTCCAGGGGTGGGGGTTGTTGTGGAGAAGGGACAGGTGGTTGATTGTTTTATAGAGGTATGCTAGAGTGGCTTTTCTAGTAACATGGTATTTGTGCAGAAATTTGAGGACAGTGACCCATGTCATTATATGAGGGGAAAACTTTCTAGATAATATATTCAGTTTGAGATACCTCTTAAAGGATCTCAAGAAGATCATAAAGTTTTGTTTTTTAAGATGGAGAAATAACAGCATGTATACATGCTGATGAAAAGAATACAGTGGAGAGAAAGAGGTTGATGATGTAGGAGAAAGGAGAAATTGAGTTCCTAAGCAAGTAAGGGAGCTTTGAACCTGAGGCCACCAGTCATTCTTTAGGTAGAGAATGAATTGGACTGAGTTCTGGCACACAGCAGGTGTAAGTGCCCTGACACTGGGAAGATGCCTCAAACAAGGGACAGGCCAGAAATTAGCTTGGCTTTGCTAGTTTCCCTCTCCTTTCCAAAAGCAGATTCTAACTTGGATTTGAACAGATGGCCCAGAAGAGAGAGGGCATTTCAGGTGGGAGGTGGTGTAAGCAAGAAGCACACAGTTCAAACTGACTGAGGCCAGATGGGCAGTGGGATGTAGGTAGAGGCAGATGGGAGGGGTGGTGTAGGACTGAGAAGATGCCACATGTAGAAGGCAGCCCCTAGAGACCCCTCACCTATGGTCTAGACAGCCGGCTGAGGCTGCACTCTGCCAGTTCTCACATTGGGTAAGTGCTGAGCACAGAGGTTAGAACCATGAGTAGGGCCTCAGTCCTCTAGAGCTCACAAACTGAGGGCATTCCAGTAAGCATCATCTAGGTAGAAGTATAAAATTCGCCCTCTTGCTGGGCATGGTGGCTAAATACCTGTAATCCCAACACTTGGAAGGCTGAGGCAGAAGGATTGCTGTGACTTCAAGGCCAACCGGGGCTACATAATGAGTTCATGGCCATCCCGAACTAAAAAAAGCAAGACTCTATCTCAAAAAAAGCCAAAGCCAAACCAAACCAAACAAAAAAATTCTTCCTTTTCTTTGCTCAGCCCAGGCTACTTGACTGAGGCTGCTGGAGGGAATGGATTGTGGTAGAAGTGGGGGACAGCAGACCCTTAGCCTCCAAGTGTCCAAAAGGGTTCACATGGAGCATAGAACTTGCTTTTCCTCTGACCACCCCACTCATGCTGGTCTTCACGTGCCCTTCTGTGTCCTCAGAGGTCGACAGTGTGGGGATTTGGAGCAACCAGCTGGATGTGACCTCCAGGACAGAATGGTGCTGGACTCAGGAGCTCAGGTGTATGAGCAGGCACCTCCCAGCCCATCTGCCAGTCCCCTGTCCCTGCGCCATAGGCTGAAGTCATCCAACCGAGATGGGCCACCCCTGTACCCCTGGCCTCGATCCCTGGCTGTGCCCCTGGCTCTGGCTGTCCCTTCAGTGCTGCAGCCCCAGCCTGAGCAGCAGCCCTTTTCAAAGCTGCACTTGGGCCACCGTGGCCATATGCGTCGCAGTGAGAGCACTTACTCTGTAAATAGCACTGGTCAGCGGGGGCGTGGCACACAGGGTCATGCCCCACCTGGACAGGGACGGGACCCAGGTGGTGGCACCTTGCGATCTGCAGCTTCCCTGCCCCACATTGCTAAGACTCGAAAGAATGTAGGCAATGGTATTGGCAAGAGCCCCTGTATGTTGGTGGCCCTGAGGCCAACCAACATGGACCGTGAACGGGACAAGTTCTTCCAGTCCCATTATACCTACAATCCACAGTTTGAGTACCAGGAGCCCATGCCTACAACTGTGCTGAAGAAGTACTGTGAGGCCTCTGGACAGTTCATCCCTCAGGTGAGTCCAGCCTGCCCACCTCACCCTGGCCCTGACCACCCAAGGGACCCAGGCTGACCCAGCTACTATGGCCCTGTGTACAGGCAGTTGGCATCATTGAGGCTGTCCTGGAGAAATTTGGCACCTACGAACGCTTTGAGGCTGCTACCGGGGGCCAGCTGCTGACCAAGTGCCAGATTTGGTCCACTGTGCGAAAATACATGCAGAAGGAGGGCTGCGTTGGGGAGGTGAGCTCGCCCTGCCTGCAAGGCCCCTCCTCTGCTATGTCCTAAATCAGGTTTTGTATCAGGTGGGCCCAGGCTCAGCTCTACACCTGGCTAGGTGGTGACTCTAAACAGATCTTGACCCCTGCCCTTGCCCCAGAAAGGTGGGAGCTGGCTCTGAGCAGGGGTGGTGAAGGGTTGGTGTGCTAGCCAGTGTCCAGCCTGGCAACCTTGTGGCATGGGTGGGCCTGCCTGCAAACTGGCCCCAGGGCTGCTAGCCATGGCTTAGGATACTGCCACCTGCAGATTGTGGTGCAGCTGAGTGAGGACCTGCTGTCCCAGGCAGTAATGATGGTGGAAAACAGCCGACCCACACTGGCCATCAACTTGACGGGAGCCCGCCAGTACTGGCTGGAGGGCATGCTTCGGCATGAAATAGGTCAGGCTGGGGGTGTGGTTGGGGGTGGGAAGGGATGAGAGGGGGCTGAATGCTGGGGGTGGGGAGGTGGTGGCCCCAGTAACCCCTTCCTTTGTTTTTCCCCCTTCCCTCTGGAGGACTGGCCCTTTCCCTACCTGAGCAGCTACCTCCTCCCTCCTGCTCACTGAGGTAGGCCAGAACATGCCTGCCCACTCTGGGCTCACTTTCATTTCTTGATCCTTTTGGGGGTATCTCTTTCTCCCTCCAATTCCTCTCTGATTTCCTTGACAGTGAGGGCAAGGCTGCTGAACCATGGCAGGCCAGAGGGAGAATCCCACCAGCCAGAGGGAGAATCTAATGCGGGTGGGAGGCCAGATCCTAGTAATGGAATTGCTTGTGGGCTTATAGAGCCCAGTCTAGGAGAGGAGACATGCCAGCTGGAAAGGAGGGCAGAGGACACTAATCACTATTCTTTTCTGTCTCCTTACTCATCAAGAATCTTGCTGCTCTGGGCGAGAAGTGGTTTTCCTGGGGGCATCAACATGACTGTCCAAATGACTGATATGGGCACTTGTCAGTGGGGGTGTGGGGACCAGGTGGTGTGTTCCTTGAGTGTCTCTAGGAGGGCTGGGGTGATATGAATTGGGAGAGATGAAGAGTGTATAGCTCTGGGCAGATTGGGGAGGATTCATGCAGGTAAGCCTATGGGTCCTTGAATGTGGGTTCACCTGAGGAGGGTCTCCATGGCGCCTGGGTTTAGGTGAGTATGCGTTTGTCTGGGGCTGGGGAAAATTTGTGTAAGAGTGTGATTTGGGGAGCACGAGGATATGAATTGCTACTAGAGGTCTGCCTGGTATGTCCTCCAGATGTCCCTCCTCCGCTTGCCTTCCCTGCAGGCACCCACTACCTGCGTGGCGTGAATAACGCGCAGCAGCCTTGGCACAGCGCCGAGGGCCGGCTGCAGTATGGACTTCGGCCAGCCAACCCCACCGAGGAGGGCCTGGCCAGCCTGCACAGCGTGCTTTTCCGCAAGCAGCCTTTCCTGTGGCGTGCAGCCCTGCTCTACTACACCATTCATCGTGCCGCACACATGTCCTTCTGCCAGCTCTTCCAAGACCTGGCCCGCTACGTGCAGGACGCCAACGTGCGCTGGGAGTACTGCGTGCGCGCCAAGCGTGGCCAGATGGACACTTCCAAGCCAGGTGGGCGCCACACAGGGGAGGGACCTGAGCTGGGTGGGGCAAGGGGCAGGGCCATGGGGCAAGGTCTCACCGCCTTCTGGGCCTTCTCACTCACAGGCTGTTTCAGCAAGGACCAGGTGTACCTGGACGGCATCGTGCGCATTCTGCGACACCGCCAGACCATCGATTTCCCACTGCTGACCTCCCTGGGCAAGGTGAGGGGCTGTGAGCCTTTGGAGGCCCCAGCCAGCTAGTGCTGACTGGTAGGGGGGACATGGATGGAGGTTAGCAAGGTTGATGAAATGACAGTCTGGCACCTGAGAGTAGGTGCTTGACCTAGCCTGTGGGTGTGTAGATGTTGCATTTCAAAGGTCACGGAAGCAGTCAAGAAGGCCTGCAGAAGGACACTGGAGAAATGCCCAGGGACCAAGTCCCTCATGCTGGGCATTTGTGCAAGGCTGAGGAAAGTAGACATCATCTGAAACAGTGGGAAGGCAGAGGCACTTTAAGCAAAGGTGTGGCACAGATGTTTGCTTTAGAAGGCTCCCTCAGATGTCATATGGGAGGTGGTTTGGAAGTAGAGGCCCAGGGAAGGAAGTGCGGGAGCAAGAGGAGGAGGCCCTCCCATCACTCTTACAGCATTGATAGTGGTTTGGCCTGACTGGGCAACAGCCATGAGGTTGGAGAGGAGGAGGTAAACTAAAGAGATCCTCATGCCAGGCCTGGTGGCTCACACCTGTAACCCTAGTACTTGGGAGGCTGAGGCAGGAGGATCATTATGAACCTGAGGCCAGCATAATGGGCTACATAGTGAGTTCAAGGCCAGCCTGAGCTACCTAGCAAGACCCTGTATCAAAAAAAAAAAAATCTTCAGAGAGTGGAATCCCTTTATCTTATCAGTCACCGTGACTGAGTGGGAGGGAGGGAGAGTCCAGAGACCCTCCCTGGAACCTGACCTGGGTAACTGAAGAGGTGGAGCTGGCATAAGCTGGCATAAGCTGGCATCCGGAGGTTGCATGTTGGATATGAGGGGGTGCCTGGAAGATATCCAGGAACTGGTTGGATACCCATGACTGGAGGCAAAGGGATTGACTGGGCTAGCAAGGACTGAGGCTGTAGAGAAGGTGATGAAAGAGCAAAGACCCAGGACTAAGCCTAGAGCTATATAACATGGGTGTGCATTAGGAAGGGAGAAAGAAGAATCCCAGAAACAAATGGCCATGAGCCATCAGCAGAGCTAGGACCAGCTGCCTGAAAGCCAGTGGGCTCTGCCTAGCCCTGAGGCTTGGCTTCCTCTCTTCAGGTCTCCTATGAGGATGTGGATCATTTGAGGCCCTATGGGGTACTGGATAATACCCGCGTACCCCACTTCATGCAGGACTTGGAACGCTACCAGCAGCAACTGGAACACATCATGGCCACCAACCGTCTTGATGAAGCAGAGCTGGGCCGCCTGCTGCCTGACTGATGTTGGTTAACAGCTCTAGGCGGAAGCCCTAGACAGAGACCTCCAGATCGGTCCCCAGAACATGAAGCTGTCTGCTCTGTGCTGCTACAGCCTAGGTGTTTCTTGGGGGGCATGGGAGGCCAGGAACATCCTAGAAGGACAAGCAGCAATATCAGAAGGTTTTTGTCCCTTGCTAGTGCTCTTCAGGCCTATGGACTAGCAGCAGCATGTCAGGCAAACTGTTGAACAGAGGGGAGGCCTGAGAATAAGAGGGGAGATGAGCATTGATGGGATTTTGGGGTGGTTCGGGAGTAGGAACTTGTTCTTGCATGAGATGGCTTTGGGTATTCAGTACTCCAGTCTCTCCCTTCTCCCACCTGGCCCCTTGGTGCTCCTTCAGCATTCATGCTGTCTACCTCTCACTGGGTCCTGGTGGCGGTCAGGATCCCTTCTCTGGGGTGATTGCTTGAACTTGAGGTCCTAGCTTTCACACAGACTCAAAGGGTAGGGGTCCAGGTAGTAGAGATCCAGCTGGGCTGGGGTTTACTTTCCAGTATTTTGCCTTTCTCACTGGTCATGTATTTACTACATACTTATCTGTTCTACTTCATGGGGCTGGGAGGCAGCAGCTCCTGAAGGTTAAGCAGAGGTACAGGACACTCCTAGAAAATACCAATTGTTCCTAGCCCTACTCTCATTACACACACACACATGCACACACACAGCTTCAGGACTTGTGAGTCCAGCCCAAGAGCTTACCTGTGCCCTGCCCCCACTCTTCCACTGGCCTCTACTGTTTCTGTCTTTGTCCAGACCCTCACAGCTGGGCTGTTGTGCAGGTTGGCTTAGCCTGGGAGTGGTCATGATCAAGCCTGAAGGGCAGGCCCTATGGCTTGTTGTCCCCAGTCCTGACCCCTTCCTGGACCAGGAGAGGTACAGACCTGATTGTTGCTTCTAGTTTCACTTCAGACTTCCCTTCCTGGGCCTTAATTTTCCCATCTGTAAGACTCAGAAAAGCAGCAGGAAAGTTCTTACTCATTTAGTCAATGTGTATGTATACTGCGCCTTGTGTGTACCAGTTTTTGTTCAGAACCCTTCCTGAGCTTCCAGTTCAGAGGGAAGCCAAACAATTAAAAGAGCAGTCACAATGATGTGTGTAGCCTCTGTCTACTCAAGCTCTCTCCCAATTTCCTTCTTTTTATCTAACTTCTCAAGACTGTGAGCGCTAAGCCTTCCCTAAGTGACAGAAGGTCCCCCTTTCCTCACTACCTCAAGCCCACAGCTTGGGCCCAATGTTTACATAGGCCCCCAAATGGCTCTTGAGAGAAAATAGTGGTGGAGCAAGACCCATGGGTCAGGTCCTTTTCTCTCTAGGGGTGTGGGTCTGGGATCCCTGGGGTGCAGCTTGGACTACTGAGCACAGGAAGGACCTGTGAACTGGGCAGTACAGTTTGCTGGGGCACAGGGCTGTCCAGGTCACTAGAACTCAGAAACATGCACCCACCCTCAGTTCCTGGGCAAACAGCCAGAATCGTGGAGAGAGATCGGGTCCAGTCCGACACTGTGGAGTTTATTCACTTCCCACAGGCCAGATGGAGCCTTGAGGCATCAAATGCAGCTCCAGCAGGTTCCCAGGTCCTGTCTGGATTGGGCTTGAGCTGGGGACGACAGGTCAGCCCTCAGGCCTTCAGGAATCTAGAGGTGAAGGAAACAGTGGTCAAGGTGGGTAGGGTCTGCCCCCACTTCACAAGCCACATCCTCCACCTTTCCGCTAAAGGTTTGGACGGCCCCACACCTTCAGACTCATCCCCCTCTTGGAAGTCCAGCTCAGGCTCCGGCTCTGGCTCTGGTTCCAGTTCAGTCTCTGGCTCTGGCTCTGGCTCTGGTTCCGGATCCATCTCAGCTTCCTGTTCTGGCTCAGCTCCTTCAAAGGCCTCAGCTTCTAGATCTGGCTCTTCTGGAGCCTCTGGTTGCACCACTTCGGAGCTTTCTGGACCCCTAGATTTCTCCGGATCCTCTGAAGCTCTGGGCAACCCGGGATATGCGTTCTCGGAACTGGGTGTCTCAGGCGTCCCGTGGCCTGGGCACGGAGGATCATAGCTGCGGTCCCGGTAGCCTGGGGTGGAGGTAGCAGTGTCTCAGGCTTAGTTTACCCTTCTGGCTCAATTTACTCTCCACCGTTACCTGCATGCACTAAGCTACTTCTTAGGGAGATAGACAACTCCGCCCTCTGCTTAGCCTTTGCTCCACCCCAGGCCACGCCCCAGATCGGGACGAGGCCACACCCCACGCCCACTCACCTGGGCCCACGTGCTGCCAGTCCCAGGCAGGGTCCGGCGCACGCATGGTTTGTTGGGCACAGCGCAGCAGCTCCTGACAGGCAGCCTCGCCCTTGCTCTGCACCAGCAGCAGCAGGCGGCGCACCCTGCGTTCGGCGTCAGGCAGTGCATCCAACGCCTCATACTCGGGCCCGTTGAGCACGCCCCGCGCCACCAGCGCATCCAGTAATAGCCCAGAGTCCGCCTGCAGCATCTCTACTAGGCGTTTCCGCTCACGGTCGATAGTCTCCGATGGCCGCTCTTGCACATTACCCATTGTCTGGACTGCACCAGGGAGGAGCAGAGAGGTAGTGAGGGGCTGGGCTAGCAACCCCTGGCTTCTCTCCCAGGGTCCCAGTGAACAGCTGTGCTGTGGCCTAAATTCACCTCGACCTCAGCGGCCAGACAGCTCTGAAGTACAGGACCTGGAGGCTGCCGCAAAGAACTCGTTGTCCTCTTGCCTTCCTGGCCGCTTCTGTCCTGCCTCCTCCTTCCCTCTCTAAATGTCAGCTACTGGCTCTCTCCAGCCTGGACCTCCCTCTGAGTTCTAGCTGCCTACAGGCTCTGTGACCATTTCAGACCTAGTTTATCCAAACTAAGCTCTTTCCCATCTCAACAAGCAGAAAAACCTAGGATTGACTCTAAGACTGTAGCTTATAGTGGTCCTTCTTTGCTGGCTGAATATTTCTCTCCCCAACCTGACTGTGTACTTACCCTAGTCTAACCTTTTACTTCCTGCTGGGTCCCTGAAGAATGCTGGATCAAGGCATCCTGCCTCCATAATCTCCAGTCCCCTCTGCACCCCGAGTACAAACAGCTAAGATCCTCCCCTTGCTTCTGCTCACTACTGTCACCACATTGCAACCCCAGTGTGGTTCCATGGGCCTTCCTGGTTCCCCAGATACCTTAATCCTCCAAAGTCCTACTTTTGACTAAGATCTGACATCACCTCAGATCTGTCTTCTTGCTGGCCTGGGAATGACTCATGCTTGATCTTGAAAACATAGGATCCAGTTTATGAAAGCTACCACTGAATGCTTGTTAAACTTTTACTTTTTTCTCCATGGAGCTTCATTTTGAAAGAATGTCTCTACCAACTAATAGGAACTAGGTAGAAATCAATCTGTTTTATCCACTTATTACCAGCCAAGAACTACAGCCCATTCCCTTTGGTGACCTGACCCAGCCAGAACAGCCCTTGACATTAAGAGTCAAAGAGGTCAGGGCCCCGACTACTCCCTTCTCTGCCCATTCACCCTATCTTGGCTTTGTTCATACAGGATCCTCCAGGTCTCCTCTTCCTTTTAGTGTCCTTTGTCTACCTCCTTTCCTCATCTATTTGGTCCTAGCCTCCCATGTCTCTCTCAGTATCCCCTACTGCAGTGATGGCAAACCTTCTAGAGTCTTCAGTGATAACAAATAGCCCGCTGTGGCACATGGGCCATATGCTCACCACTGCTGCCCTAGTGTTGGTCACTTCATACCCTGGCACCCCTCCAGTCCCTCATATTCAAGTGTCAGCCCAATCCTTCCTTTTCAACACAAAGCAGAGACCAGAGACCCCTGTTCTTCTATCTCCTTTATGTCCCATCTATGACAGTTCTTCTCAGAGAATCTCCATTAACTCCTGCCTCTCAGTACCACCATCATCTCCTCATCTCCTGTCATGGAGAGGTACCTCCATAACTCATGGAACTGTCAACTCACTCCCATTCTCACTTCCCTTCAGTGTAGTGATTTTGGCAACTCTTTGGAAGTCAGATTTATTGTCGCCGTTTTATAGACCAGACAAGCTCAAAGAGACCAAGTAAAGCCTGAACTATAAGGAGGTCTCCAGGACTGGGGATTTAGCTCAGTGACACCACACCTGCCTCATAAGTACAAGGTCCTGAGTTCGATCTTCAGTACCAACAACAACAAAAAATGGGGCCAGGGATGTAGCTCAGTGGCACAGCACCTGCCTGGGAAGTGTGAGGTCCTTAGTTTGATCTTCTGCACCAAAAAAACAGGAGGTCTCCTGTCCAAAAGTGTCAGGCCTAACCACCCATCTCCAGCCCCCATGGCCCATCAGAGGAAATCCAAGCTATCTAGTCTGGCTACTCTTGCCACCTCCCACCACCCTGGACAGCCAGGATCTTCCTCACTGCCTTCTGCCCCTCAGTCTTGGGAGGACACCCTATGTCCCTGGCACTTTTGGACATTTGCTGATGCTCTTTCTCAGCCTGGAGCCCCTTTTCCTCCCTCCACATTGTGGACCTAGCCCCCAAGTCTCAAATGTTCCCTTGTTCACGCCCATGCCTGACTGTTCAAGGAGGGATGGCTTCTGTGCATCCCAGTGAACAGTATATGCCCCTCACTACTGCATGAACAGACCTTGCTGCACTGTGCACATGTGGACCTCTGCTCTCCACAGCCCAGGCTTTCAAAGACTTCCTATCACCGGCACAAGAAAAGAGGGAGTCAGCTCCTACTCTGTCCAGATGTGGAGAGGAAGGGGTCAGACTGAGTTGATTTCTCCTCATCCCTGCTTCTTGTTAGCCTCCGTTAGCCCAAGTCCTGCCCTTTTCTGTAAGGAGCAGAGAGCCGGGCTGAGTTGGGCATCACTTTGAGGTTCTCTTAGCTCTAAGGTAAACACGAAAGTTTTGTTGCGGCCCGTTTTTCAAGGGACAGGCCCAGATGCTGCCCAGAGCGCCCGGGCGAAGCAAGGGACCCGGTTCTGCCCCCATCCTTAGCTGGCTGCATGGGGTTATTGCGAGGGTCCTGGGAGCCGCGGGAGGCTCTGCGCATGCGCAACCCCAAGGGTACCCTGACCTCCCCTCCACCCAGTCCCAGAGCTTCAGTCTCGCGGAAAGGCGGGGCCCACAGACCTGTGAGCTCACTGCTGGTGGTGAGGCGTGAATTCTGCCCAATCTGTTTCCCTTCCCTCCCCCTCTGGGCAGAGTGGGGATCCCGGTTCAGGCAGCCTCCCTCACGGGTCGAACCTCGGCAGGGCGGGAGATGACAGTGCAAAAAGGGCCCAGCGGGGTGGGGATGGGTACAGCAACTGTGACAGGGGCGGGGCGGACAGGGCTGCCGGGAACTGAGAGGGAGGGGCGTTCTTCCAGGCGCCGGGAGTCCGGCGCCCAGGTCGCGCTAGCTGGGGACAGACACAGAGGTCGTTTCCTCGGGCCCCAACCTGAAGAGCACCCGACACGAGCCAGGGAGGGAACACTTCGACCTGCAGCCCCACGCGTCCTGCACCCACTGGGGCCTGCCAATTCCTAGGCAGTTTTCATTTGTCCTCTTGTCGACCCCTCCCCTCTTTCCTGTCACAGATGAGGTTCAGAGAAGGGGACTGGCTTATTCAGGGTTACAGAGAACATGCTTTTTGGAGCTGAATGTGACCTAGGAGCCCCACTGCAGTGGCCATGGACCGACGACCCTGGATTCAGGCAGGACAGCTAGCATCAGCTTCCCAAGCACCCCCACTCTCCAGAGAGTCTTGCTTTAAAGTCCTAGGATCCGAATGCTTCTACAAATGCAGAGTCATTCCCTCCCCATGACTCCTGTGGTCCCTGGTTGACAGAGAAAAGAGACCAGAAACAGAAAAAAATGCAATTTATGTGCGGAGTAAAGGAGAGAGGCTGGCAGTAGAGGGGGCTTCGGTCACCCCCCCAGGGGGCACCAGGAAGCCAAAATGGGTATGCTGTCACAGACTGGTTCCTCAGCCAGGGTGCTTCAGAGGTGTGTGGGTCTTAGGGGTTGGGACTGGCCCCTGGGCCCAGGTAGGAGCTCCGGCTTTCAGGGGTGCCGTAAAGGGCTAAAGCTCCTGGCACAGCAAGGGCTGGACCTCCCAAATCTGCCTGGACATCCAAAAGGAGTGGAGTCCCCAGTGTGGGGTCCTTTCCTAAGGAGGAGTGAGGCCATCATCAGAAGAGCATTTCTCCTTTTTTTCAAGGAGAGCCCAGAGTTTGACTTCTGCTCAGTCAAGAGGAGCCCTCATTCTTTTTTTTTTTTTTTTTTTGATAGGAGCCCTCATTCTTAACCTCCCCCATCTCACTCAATGGTGAAGGGATGGGTGGCTTAGAAGTCTCTACAGGGCAGCCTGCATCCAGGGGATTTCCCTGCACAGCTCAAACTCCCCATCCCACCCAATCTTGGTAGCTCAGCCCAGGTCCCAAGTCTCCACCACCATTACCTGGACCTGGAGAATTCACCCCTTTGACTGCCAGCTCAGCCTCACCCCTCTCTGGAACCAAGGGCTGCACCTGCATGGGAGAACCCCAGGAAGCAGCTGGGGAGGAGCCCAGTAGCTGAAGAGAAAAGCTGAGGGTTCACTGGGGTCATCCTTAGACATGGCTTTAGCTCACTGAGATGCCAAGGACCAGAGAGTGTGGTCCTGCCCCACCCCCATCTTACCAAGGACAGCTCCATGTCCAAGTCCAAGAGGGACCATTCTCGTGCTTGGAGGCTGAAGCCCAGCACCTGGGAAAAGCTCTGGGTCAGCAATACCCTCCCTGACCTGCTGGGTCCCATGCCATGCCCCTGTCCCTGCCCCGCACCCCACCGAAGGGGTACTCACATCCATAGGCACTCCAGGCTCTAACCCCTCAGGGGGAGGACGAAGCAGCACTGGAGGCAGCTGAATTTCTGGGCTCTGGTGTCCTTGCTCCAGGTCCAGAGGCCCCCTGTACACAAAAAACTGTTGTCAGCCTGCAGTGCCCATCACCTCAAGGAACCTGGGGTGTATCAGGATTTACATCCCCATCCCCTGTAAAGGGGCACATGGAGAGTGCCTCTGCTTCCTACCTGGGACCTGAGGTCTTGGTGTTCTCCTCCCTCTGAGTGTAAATATCAGTGGGGGTTTTTTTGTTGTTATTTTGTTTCGTTTTGTTTTTTCCAGTACCAGGAATTGGATTCAGGACCTTCTACTTGCCAGGCAGGCGCAGCGCCACTGAGCTACATCCCTGGCCCAGTATCAGTGGTTTTTAAGCTATTGTGTGCATTATAATCACTCCAGTGAACTCATTTAAAATGCAGATTCCTGAGTCCTACCACAGAGGTGATGACTGGGAGTTTCCAATGTCCAGAGGATTCTGATGCAGGTGCTCCTAGGAGCACACTATGAGAAATCAGGTCAGTGTCATAGAGTCAAGTGTCCAAAGTCTCCCTCAACCACTAAGGGGCAGATAAGGCAGGGGGGCTTCTTGGGTTGTGAGTGCCCATCTATCTGTGAAAGTGACCTTCAGGGTTCACTATCAAGAAAGGGCTCTGCTCACCTGTCAGGTACCTCCCTGGGGCCCCTTGGTTCAGGCTGTTGGGCACTCCTGGGACCCTCAGGGCTGAAGCTCCCTTTCCCTTCCAGGATGGCCTGCACCACAGCCACAGGCAGTGGTGGGGGTGCTGTCACGCAGAAGTCACACTCATTTGGGGCCAGGGCCAGCCCGGCCTTGCCATCCCCTCCTGGACTGGCCGGCTCTTCTTTGAGTAGCACCAGGTCCTTCTCCCTGTACCAGAGAAACGCTTCAGCCAGACCCTGGGCACTGTCCTCTTCCCCTATCCCCACAGCCATCTGGGCTGCTAGGCCCTCCCCCAGGAGGTTCCCCAGGGCAGCCCATGCCCACCTTACCTCCTGCCACCACCAGAAGGAGAAGGCCTGGGCCCTTCAGGGGATGGAGAGTCTTCTGGGATATCAGAGATGATGGGCCCCCTGGTCCTGTGAGGGCTGAGGCTCAAGGTAGTCTCGGGGAGGGGCTGTAAGTAAAAAGGCTAGGCCCAGCCTTTGGCCTCTGGCCACAAGGAGAGCCAGAACCCAATGAACACCCACCTAAATCAGTTTAAAGGACAAGGTTTGAGAAGGGAGGCTAGTCCCTGCTGGGGAGCCTGGGTCTGGCAGTAGGAAGGCTGGCTTCCATCTTTTGGGGGAATGGAGAAAAGAAACAAGCTTCCCATAAACCCAACTGTGCCCTAGGGAAAGGGGAAGAAAAAACCTACCGACTGGATAAAGTAGGGGTCCTGCAGGAGGGCACCAGGAAGGGAGCAGGAGTTAAATTTGGCAGGTGTGGGACATAAGTTCCCTTCATCCAGCATCAGGGACCTGTGTGGATGAGCAGGGCTCAGGCTGGGGTGGGCAGATTCAGCCCCTATGCCCCTCAGCCTGCACTTCCCTCTCTCTCTCCCTCCCTCAGGCCCCAGCAGCCAAGTCAGCAGAGCTGAGGCCTGTTGCCAGCCATCAGTCACATGCTGGAATGGAAGGGGCTCCCCCCAGAGATGGGGGCCCTTTGGGGTAGGGAGGGGAGGGAAGAGAGGATGGTTTGGGCTTCAAACCCTCTGTTGTTAGGATGCTTTGGGGGAAGGGGAGGGACTGCTGGGGTGGGAATTTGGGGTAAGGTCCTGGAAGAAGAGGACCTGGGAGTAGAGGAAACAGATGGTGGAGCTGTGGGGTTGGGGGAAAGCCCTAGAGAGGGTCAGGGAAAGGAATAAGGGTTCCTGGTGAAGGAGGAGAAGGGGTTGCTGCTAGGAGTCCTGGGGCAGGGTCCTGGAGGTGGGAGTGTGGGTGTGAATATCCCTGGCTTCCTCACTCACAGCTTTCTCTTTGTTCCTGCACTGCTGGGCCCTGTCTGAAGTGGCCCAAAGAGACACTGGATCAGCTAGAGGGAAAGCAAAAGGTTAATTCATACTTAGGGCCCGCCGCCACCACAGCAAGGCATTTCCAGTGGGTTTGAGGACTGGGTGGAAGGGTCCCCAGGAGTGGGAGGAGCAATGAGATGGGGGAGAGACACACCTTGCCGATGATCTGGTGCTGCTGACCATGGCTCTGCCTCAGTGTCACCAACTCCTGCCATAAGATCTCATTCTGCCTGAGAGAAGGGATGGGAAGGTGCTGAGGTTTCTGAGGGTTTGCCCAGTTACCATCTCCATGGAATGGGGAGGGTTGGGTCCCGTGGGATAACCCCATGGTCATCCATCCTAGGGTTCCAAAGGGTCCAATTGTCTGGAAGGAGGTGCCAAGGCCCAAGAGAGGAAGGGGCTGCCCAGGAGCCCCTGGCAGGCAGTATCCTCTCAACCAGACCCCCCTCTACCCTGCCTTCCAGGCTCCCGCACTGCCTGAGCTCCCGTAGCCGCGCCTCGGTGTTGTCTTGCACTCCTCGCAAAGCCTGCACCTCGCCCAGCAGCCGCCCCAGGTCTTCGGGCCTCCAGCGACCGTCCTCGCAGCGTAGCGCGGGCACCTGTGGATGGAAGGCAGTAGTGGGACAGGGTCACTTAGAACACGGGGCAGCCAGTCCCAACGCCCCACTTGGGTTTACCAGTTTCAGGAGGCCGCCCTCACCTTGCGCCGCACTCGATCCAGTAGCTGCTCTCGGCCGCGAACGAAGCTTGGGTGCTGGAACTCGACATGGTCGTGCTCGGGCCTGAGTAGGCCACCCTGCTCGATGCTCACCACCTTCCGAAAACCATCTAGGGAGCAGAGCATGAGGCCTGAGGATGACCCTCCTCGGCACTAAGTCACCCACACCCGCTCCCTGCCCGGCAGCTCGAGGGACTCACACATGTTGAGTTGGCGCACAAAGCTTGCCATGTTGCTGTGCTTGAAATACTGGGGCAGAACTTCCTTGGCGAAGCGGCTCTGATCACTTACGAGGAAGCTGGTCCCGCTCTACCGAGAACGCCTCCACCCTCGTGCGGGTGGAGACCAGAGTCCATGAGCGTCGCCGGCCCCGCCACCAAGACACTGCTGTGGAGCGCGCCCGCGCGCACTCACTCTGGGGTTGAGCCTGCTGCTCTTTGGGGTATGTAACAAGGCCAGGGCAGGAGCAGCTGAGGCCGAGCCTATGGCCATCAGTAAGTCCCTATCCCTAACTCGACCCAGACTTGGTTCTCAGAAAGAAATAGAGGCCAACCCGGGGTCCGCCTCGGTCCACGATGTGAACCTGAGCCAGAGCTGCAATGTGACCCTGCCTTAGCTGGAGCCAGCCCTTACCTTCTTCTGGCCTGTTTTCCGACCTGTCAATGGGATAGGATGATAACTAAATGACCCAGGAGATCACTGGCACTCCAGGTCTCCCCAGGAGGCGCCTAAATCCTTCCTCAGCGCCAGAGGAAGTCGCCTTATCCTCATCTCACATACCCCCTCCAAGGCGAACTGCCTGTACACTGAAGGACCCACAGCTTAGACTTGGGGGTGGGGAGCTTGGGTGGGCGTGGGTGTTCACTGACTTGGAGGGACCCCGGGGAGTGTCGAGGGGCCCCAGCCCTCACCGGGCTCCAGCGGATCAGGTGGTCGGTGCCTGGGTCGCCCACCAGCGCCCATAGCTTGCCTAGGAAGGCAGGCACGGGGCTGGGGCCTGGCTCCGTGGGCAGCACGGCTGGCGCTTCCTGCATGGCGCAGTCTCGGCCAGGCTCAGCGCTCGGCCCGGCTGCTGTGAGCTTGTCCAAGCCCTGAAAGTGCTGCGTTTGCTGCCCGCCCCGCCCTACTCCGCCCCCAGGCGCTGGGTCAGGGGGGGTGGGGGAACCACGTGCGAGCCCGTGGGGGCGGGGCTCGGACAGCAGAGGGCCGAAGCACCAGCGGACCGAAAGGGCTGGCTGAATCGGATGTGTCCAGAGAGCTAGGGTGCCGAGGGAGACCTAGATTCGAGTCCCATCCTCAGTCTATTTCCTTCTGCATTCTTTGGGAGAAATCTTCGTATGCGATCTGCTGTGGACTTGCAAAGTGCTAGAAGGCGATGGCCAGCCATGGGCATAGTGAAGCCCAGGTTAGGGGCAGTCAGGATGGGTGGTGGGGAGCTGGCCCTCTCCTGCAGTCCCACCAAATGCTGGGGTGCAGAATACCCTGCCCTTGTCTGTGCTGCCGCTTCAGTACCATAGATCTTGAAGTCTGGATCCTTTCCACATCTGCTGGACGACTCTTCCTGCCTCCGCTCTTTCCCAGCCCTTCCCCTTCAGAACGGACCCAGCCTTTCAGAGGATGCAGAGATATCTCAAGGTCTGTTTATTTCACACTCACTCCTATGGCCTGACCAGTGCCCAGGCCCACCCTCCTCCCATCCCGGGCTGCAGAGCTGGGGCAGAGTATGCAGAGGGGTGGATGGGGGAGCTCAATACTACCCGGACAGAGTTGGCATCTGCAGAAGCTGAGAGCACCAAGTGGACTCAGGGCGCCCTGGAATGGTTCGGACGCCATCCCACAGGTCCCAATCCCAGAGAGGCACAGAAAGCAAACAGAATCACTAAAAGGCTGGCAGTTGGAGCTCACCCAGGAAACTCCGTGCCTCGTCTCAGAGACCTCCGGTCTGTAGGATGAGGGTGGGGGAGTTGACCAATCATTTCAAGAGTGTGGGCTGCCAGGGATGTGGCTCGCTCTTCAGTTTGAGTGTGTAGCTGCGCAGGTGCGGGCAGTGCGCACGGAAGGCGCCCAGCACTGAGGGTTTCACCACGCAGAAGCAGTGTATCTCGTGCAGGCCGGAGCAGCGTGCTGCCAGCTCCTGCAGCGCGGCGTCTAGCTCCAGTGAGGCGGAAGTGCGCACCTCGAGCACGCGCAGGGTTGTAGCATAGTGGTGCGCGACGAAATACACCGGACCTACGGAGTCTCCGGAGAGGTTGAGACGCAGCACAGTCACAGGTACTGCTGGCTGCAAGACGCGCGTCACGCAGTCAGCAGGCAGCACAGGCTCAAGCTCCAGCTCCACCGCCAGCCCAGGGTGGCGGCAGCGCAATGCCGCCCAGGATTCGTTGGGTACAGGGGATGCGCGTGCATCTTCAGGGCATGAGCACTGCAGGGCCAGGAGCCCGAAAGGTGCGCGACCTGGCGCGGCCAGCACCTGGAGGACGGCACATGATAGACTGGCCAGGTGCAGTCCAAGGGCGCGCAGGTGTGGGCAGGCCTCCAGTAGCTCAAGTACAGAGCTGGGCCTCACACTGTCCACCAGTGTATGGTTGTCCAAGAAAATGCTCCGAAGCTGTGGGCAGCCACGGGCCACCTGCTGCACCAACTTGTCATCCAGTGTGAAGGGCAAGCACCGAAGATTGAGGTGGCGCAGCTCACAGGCGTTCCTGCAGACAGTGTGCACAGCGTCCAGGATGTCGCGGCCCGCATCAAATAGCGGTTTTTCACCACGGCACTCCAGGCGCAGGCCTCGCAGCCTTGGGGCACGGTCTGCCAGCGCAATCAGCAGCTCTGTGGCTACCCGGCGACTCATCTTCCTCGACGGCTCATATTCCAGCCGTAGATTGTGAACGTAGTCCAAGTAGGTGTACAGATATGATGGCAACATGCCTTCCTGCTCACAGTCGCAACTTGGGTTAGAGTGCAGAAAAGAAATTGGGGGCATCACTGTGACCAGAGGAGAGGCCTCTACTACCCCTCCGCTTGGATACCCCTCACTGCCTCCCCCTACTCCCCCCAGTGCACACAGCTTTCTGTCAGGACCTCACTATAGCCCCAAGGAAGCCACTGGTGGTGGGTGGTGGTGGTGGTGGTGGGGAAACCCCCATTCTGTCCCTTTAGAAGACTTTAGTCAGCCACAGTTTGAAACCCTGGGATGGAAAGCCAGTGATATTTTAGGTACTAGGTGGTTCTAAGGAAGTGGGGCAGGGTGAAGCCTCTGGGTTGCCAGGTTCAAATTCCACCTCTGCCACCCCCTTGCCAGAAGTGATGAAATCTCTCTGCCTCATCTGTGCAATGGAGTTAGTGCTGCCTATCAACTATAGGAGGTTTTTGTGAGGATTACATGAGTTAATATTTGCAAAGCAGCTAGAATAGTTGGTACATACATAGTAGGCAATCAATAAGTGTTAGTACTGCAATTATTTTTTCAATATGGGGGAATTTAATCTCCCCAAATCTTGGCTCCACAGAGCAAGTATGAGGATGAATAGGTGGGAGGATGCAGAGGTACCAGCTCACCTGATGTTGGTGTCATGCCACACAGCACTGCTGGTGGCAGCGGTGGCCCAGGCCCTGCAGACACTGGCAGCAGTGGCACGGTCTCTGAGGGGGAGGCAGCGAAAGATGAGCACCAACACCTCTTCTGGAAGTTGTTCTGCCATGAAGCAGATGGGGGGCTCCACCACAGCTCCCACGGATAAGTCCTGGAGAGAGAGAGGGGGATCCTTGGGCTCAGGAAGGAAACTCTGGAGCTTGGGTGTAAAAATGCTTATGGTCTTCAAGTTGCTACACTTTGTGGAGCCTAGCATAAAACGAAAATCCCGGATACCTGTTTACAGCATTAAAAATTTCAGTTTCAAAGGGATGTAGCTCAGAGGTAGGCTCTAAGCTCAGCCCCAACACCACCAAAAAAAAAATTTAGGGCGGGTTAGGGATTTAGCTCAGTGGAACTGGTGCCTGCCTCGTAAGTGCAAGGTCCCGAGTTCAATCCCCGGTACAAAAAAAAAAAAAAAAAACACTACCAGCAGAACTTTCGATCAAGTATTAAGCCAAAGGGTTCCTTTTCTGGTTATTTATTTTTCACTTGTTGAACAAGCTCCAGAGGATTCCATAGGTTTCTACTGGAGAAATTGCCACAAACCTCCAGCCAGTAGAAGATGACTAGTTAATAAGGCCAGAGCAGGGAAGTCTTTTGTCAGGGACCACGAGCCAATCTGGAAGCGGGATCGAGGGGAGGCTCCTTCTCTTTCTCTGCCTCTACCCCCCGCCCCCGCCCCGTGAAGTGGATATAACGCCTCCCCCAGGTCTGACGC